TGCTACTCTTCGGCCAAAAGACATAACTTTTGATAGATTTTTTATTAAATATCAAAATGGCCATTGTCATCGTGTTGTAATGGGCATACATAAAATTTCAAAAGTGCCAAAAGATGTTGCATCATTTTTAAGGTTGCCAAATCCACATGAATATACGGGGCATTGCCTTAGAAGAACCTCGGCAACTATCTTAGTTGATAATGGTGGAGACATTACAACCCTAAAGCGACATGGTGGATGGAAATCTACCAGCGTCGCTGAAGGATACATTGAAGATTCTGTAAACAATAAGAAACAGATAGCGATGAAAATATTAAACCCATTAGAGTATAATGAACCAAGTACATCAAGCGAAACTGTAAATATTGATCCTGAAAATAATTTAATCGAAGACTTTTCTGTTAATAATGGTACAATTGTTAACACTGAAACTGAGAACCTTATTACAAGTAACGTATTCAACGACAGAACTGTAAACTTTGAAAAAAAGACAGCCAGCAGCGCTTTAAATATCAACAACTGTACCATACAAAATTGCACATTTAATATTCATGTTAATAAATAAAGTTTGATGATAGACATGTAGGTAATTTAGATGTTTATTCGTTTAATTCAAATTAAAGAAAAATAATTGTTACATTTGTTTTTTTATTCATGAATAAAGTGGTTAAAACTGTCATGTTTAATTAATCAATAAAATGTATAAAATGTATAAAATAAATAGTATTACCTACCTACTGATTTTATTTTGTGCTGAGATTAAACATCGCGTTATCCGCTATAAATTTTCAAAATTAGTAATTTTTTATATTCACGCTTGAAGAAAAAATAGTATATGTCACTCGGAGTGGAAGGCTCATTATGTGTTTTGCCCAATTTGCTCAGCCTCGGCTAATGCCTCGGCGAGCAAACTTTTTTGCTCAACACATAATGATCGCCTTCTACTCCTAGTAACATAATATACTATTATTTTGCTAATAAACAACAAGATTCAAAGAGAATGTAGTTCATCCTAAAAATGTTGTAGGTCGTCACAATCGCTTTATAGTCCAGTCGAATTAGATCATAAACTCTGAAAACTTCAGAGTTTATGATGATTTATAAAAAATTATTACTAGACATTTTATTGCAGTTTATGACGGAGTACGGTATGTAGAACAGAGTCCGAGACTGGTGCGTGGTGTATACCATTTTATCTACTCCCACAGTTCTTTATGGTTCATGAATTAGGTTTTATTTTTTGACATTTCTTACTAAATTCATTTTGACATTATTCGAAATCTTGTAAAGTCGCCTTGGTTGTTTGGATATTGTCGTTTCTAAGGTGTTTATAAACAAAGCTACATGAAAATTGCAATTTTGCTGGTTTTGAATTATTATTGTTTCTAAATGAGTGATTTTCACATAGAAAGTCGAAAGTGTGCTACGGACGAGTATATAGAAATTTCAAAGAATGGTGCCAGAACAAACATACTGGTGTTTCTGAAATGTCACTGCTAGCATAGGTATTTCATGGAGAAGTCAAGAACTTTAAAAGTCACCGGCAAGTTTGTGAAGTGAATACTCAATGATCAAGTCACATATTTTCATAGAGCAGAACGTGGATATATCGAAATACCCCCAGCTGAGAGTATTCTTTAAACGTAAAAATGACGGCTATACCTACACCAAAAAGTCAAACGTTTTTACAAGAGAACAAGTCAACGATTTTCTCGTTCAGGCACCCGATAACACATATTTGCTAATGAAGGTAGTGACGGTCTTAGGCATTGCAGGAGTATGCCGTTCTGATGAGTTATGCAAACTTACTTTGGATGTTAATTTCAAAAATTTCGATGACATTATTGTAGTTACAATTCCCGATTCTAAAAATAGTGCCACGTATCTTTACAATTACTTCTCGTTTGGGTTCTGTTTCTCACCTAGAAATTCTCAAGAAATATATCAAGATTAGATTGGAAATTAAAAATAAAATTTCACGCTTTTTTATACGCTATCAAGCAGGTAGATGTTACAACCAATCCAGTCGGTAAGAATAACCTTGCACTGCACAGTTTTTGAAACTAGAACATCCTGCAACATATACAGGCCATTCATTCCGAAAACTGAACCATATTTTATTTATTTGCGTTATTACAGATAATAAATGTACAATTTTGAAATGTTCCCTGAAAATTACTACCGCCACTGGAAACAATTTCTTCTTTTGTATGGCTGGAGCTTCTGTTCACTACAGTCGAGGTACCTGCCTCTTTTAATGGCAAAGTAGACAACATACGCGCCGTTTTATTTCTCAATTTTTTGCTACCCTCCAGACACCCCTCCGCCACCGTGGAACTTTTCCAACCTCCGTGTCTTTTTAAGTTAGTCATAGTTGCTCCTGCATTAACTAGAGCAGTAGCAGAAGTGCGACGAAGGCAATGTCCCGTATAGGAAGATGGGTTTGGCAATCCTAAATACATTGCGATTTTGCTGGGAATTTTCCCAAACATGTTTTTTCCAATTGGCTGAGATGTACATTTATTTTGTTGGAAGCGCAAAAAAAATCGTTCAATACCTTTAGGACGTAAAGACATATAAAGTCTTAATAAAGGCAAAGCAGAGAACTCTTTTTCATCCACAACTGTAAATTTCTTCGATACACCAGTTTTACTTTCCGGTACGTTCACTACCATAACGGAATCCCGGTCCTCTATATCCGATATCTTCATATTCAAAAGTTCCTGACTTCTGCATCCTCCAAAATAACCCATAATCAAAACAACCTAAAACAAAAAAAGGAAATAAATACACACAAAAAAAGGGAAAATAAGAAAAAAATTACCTTATGCAGTAAATGAATTTCATTAGGAGCGTTCTTTAGAAATCTGATAACATCATTAGGAGATAAAACAGCAGACTTTTTCGGCTTATAACTCTTACTCTTCCGTTTCAAAAAAGCCTCTAGTTCATTGAACTTGGCGATATCTCGTTTCTCATGTATATTCACCTTCGATTTTAGCATTGACCATTTAGTCCATAAAGAATTCGGACTATACGTTTCTGACTGCAACGAATAAACAAAATTACTACCAAATCTACCGAAAAACATAGAATATTCCTTACCAATTCTTGAAAATATGCCAGTAATACAGTTTCAGTGGCATCTTTTGGCATAACATTATTCCGTGTCAGCCACTCCAGATATATCTTGTATTCTTTTTGGTATACGGCTTCACTTTTCGATGGAATTAATGATTCTCTTGCTTTTTCAGCTTTTTTCAAAATCTGCTCCATTATATTTGGGGTAGAAAACACGTTTTTAACGCAAACACAGCTTGATAACAAAGTCCTGTTTATAAACAAGTAACAATTCTGTTTATAAACACGTAACATAGCAACAACCTAGCAACAACAAAACTCTTATAATCAATGGTGCCCGATTCAAATATACTGAGAAGGTAATAAATTGGTACATTTTTTCCGTTTTAAAAATAAACAATATTTTATTGAAATCGGTCAGAAATAAAATTATCTATGTACCACGGGAATTAATGAGCCTTAATAACCTCAGGCAATTGCTGTCCCTCGGGCCGGACGCCCTCGGGACTCAAACTTTGCCATCGGTAATTAAGGCCCTTATAATTCCCTAGATACATAAATAACTATAACTGTTCATGTGTAAAAATAAATATGTATTTGCAGTTTTGGTAAGTGTTTTAATAAATATCTATTTCGTCTTCCATGATATGTGCAAGGCGTTATTAAAAAACTTAACTGAAATAGGTTTCAATTAACTATCCTTTTAAATGGATAAGGTATTTATTTAAAAAAAAAACTGCTTAGAAAATTCAAAATACCAAGGACAAAGGATATGCAGTTTCGTTGAACTAATTCTTTAAAGAACCTTTGGAAAGAATTGATTTGAAAATGAAAATCGCCTAGTCCAAGAAAAATTATCTAATTTTTATTGAATTTATATGTGACTACGATTATTGTTAGAAACTGTTTAATGGTAACATAACTAAGAGAATTAATTCTCTCTATTTGTTTTGTCATTTGCGGCGAAATAAAAAAAATAACCGCGTGTCACAAGCATTGGATATTTGATTTTTATACAGGGTAGATGATTTTTTTTTCTGGAACTCTTCCCTCTGACAGTGGCTTCAGAGTTTACGTAACACATTGTGACCTGGAGTTTTTAAAAATCATACATGTAGGTCCAGTAACGTCGAAAGGGTCGGTATTGCATTCCATCGAAATTTCATTTATCCAACGAGGGGGGAAAACAGAATTCATATCGATGAAACTGTGACACGCGATGTGTCCTATCGGCAATATTGCGGGCATCGGGGCATAAAGCGCCGCCGCCCGGGGCAACAGCTGACGACGATATCACATCGCGCGCCCACCGCATCGACATTATTAATAAAACAATCATTCGATCGTGTGATTGGATTTCGTTGTGTTCGTATCACACTATTTGCAGCAGCAGCGGTAATCCCTTCCCGACGTGTTTTTGGCGGATATTGTAGCAATAATAGCTGCGTTTAATGGGTGTGAAATTTTTGTCTTTTGTTTTTTGTGAATGTAGGTCGCGTCTAGATTTGCGTTTGATTACGAAAGAGGGATGAAACTTGGAAAGAGAGCGAATATTGGTTGAATTATCGGCTTCTACTCGTATATTATGTCGTCCTTGACTGGCAACACGTGTAAATTTTATAAAATTATGTTGAGTGTCGAATTGTCAGAAAACCGATAAAAAAAAGTATTGATACTTTATTAAATTCTGCTCTGTTATTACTAGAGACCGCACTTCGTTCGCAAATCTCAGGTCCGTACTTCAGCCGACGATCTCAATATTTAAATATTCATTAATTCTTCACAAAATAATAATAGTGCCAGCTAATCGACAAAAGCACCTTGTTTATTTACCCCGCACGTGTCAAGGTCATGGTAGTTGGGCGACGGGCGGGAAAAACGAATTTCATTTCAAGTCATGCATCAATCATCAACATCATATCAGTTGCATGCTAATCTTACGTAAGGACATGTCGCGTCTTGTCCAGTAACAGTACGGTGTATATGCATATTTTTAATTATAAGTGTTAGTTTTATTATCTCTGTAAAAATGTCGCGTCAGCTTCCCGCTCGCTCTACGCTACGGTCGAAAACTGGCACTAAGGTGCAAAATTTGTGAATGCGTTATATCGTGGAATTATAAAACACGAATTGCGGAACACATAAACTCAGAAAAACACAAAGCTTGCGAAAGTAACAGTATGACCACCAGTGAACGTCAAAAACAATTTAACGACGATTTGATAAAAGTCATGGTTGGGCGTAATATTGCAATGAACAAATTAAATAACATGAACTTTAGACAATTTTTGCAAAACTGCGTTAATGGAAAGTATAACAATGACACCGTGCCCGCAGAATCCACGCTGGATCCATGGATTACATAGAGTCTCCAAGACGATTAAAGAGTGCTATCCCAATGTCGACAAATTGATAGCTAATCTTAAGAAAATATTTTTGAAAGCACCAGCCCGGATAAATTTGTTCAAAGAAACTCTTCCAGGCGTACCACTACCTCCAGAACCTGTTTTGACACGTTGGGGTACGTGGTTAGACGCAACATCTTATTATTACGTACACTTTGACGGCATAAAAAGTGTTATACAGCAATTGGATTCAAGTGATGCTACTTCTATTTTATGTGCTCAAAGGATATTTAACGATCCTACACTTCGTGAAGATTTAGCATACATACATTTTAATTATTCACGAATACCGTCAGTTATACGCCGTCTTGAAGTAACTGTGACATCATCAGAATATTCAGTAAATAACGCAGTAAATAATGTTTTAGACTTGCGACAGTTTATTTCCCAGTTGTCAGGACATAGTGCTGAACGTGTGAAGAAAAAAATTTATACCGTTTTGCAGAACAATCCGGGATTTCTAACTGTATGTCGCATAGTAGATCCTTTTGAAGGTAAAGAAGTAGATTTTTCTGAATCCACCCTAAATATGCCATCCGTTAAAAATTATATGTACTTTAAATATGCCCCAGTAACATCTGTGGACGTTGAACGTACGTTTTTGAAACTTAAATGGATTTTTAGCGATAAACGCCACAACCTAACGCCTGAACATTTACAGCAGTTACTGGTTATTCAAGTTTACTTCAGCACTGCAAGTGAATAGGTGTAGAGCTCAGTGTAGAGTGTTTTGTAAACTAATAAACTTAACATGAATCATAGTGGACATTATAAATCGTCAGTACAAGGCAAGACTTTGATTTTTACTTTTTATATGGTGTTTGCACCTCAGTTTCTACAGAATTTAACTTAGCGTCCTGAGTCCGCCCCTGATAATGACGTGCGAATGAAGTGCGGTCTCTAGTTATTACAACATCAAAACGTTTTTTCAAATAATCGAAAATACCTAACATAAACTCTATGAAATTTCAAGACCAATATAAAATAAAGTAAAAAATATACAGGGTGTTTCACCTAAAAGGGATTCCTCTGTAACTCTGCACTGTAACATTTATAAAAAAAAATTTTTTTAATAAAAATTGCCTGGAATCATGTGGGCAATGTAAAGAAAATATTCATTCATTTCACGTGGGCGCTACATAACTTTGTTATTTTAAATGGAACACCCTGTATATTGTTGCGCTTTTGAATTCCTTGGTTAATGTTAAGGAGAGTTTATTAAATGTACATGGTGTTTAAAACTTACCGTTTTCGAGATAATCAGTTGTTTTTGAAAAAATCACGATTTCGGCTCTCTAAATGAGACTAGACAGCGTCTAAACCGTAAGAGTTAGAAACCTGCAGTTTTCATAATTCGCTTTGGCATAAATTACTCTATCTTGTCATCTGTGAGCAAAACGTGCACGTTATTCAGACTCGGAAATACTGAGACCTACATTTAATAATCTTACGAGTTTGAAAAACTTTTTTTTTTCAAATGGAATGACCCATATTAATTGTCATGGGTGAATGCAAAATTGGATGCCCTTTGGACTGATATAAGGTTGTCCATACTTATCTTTAACAGTTTTTCAGAAAAATCAGGTACCTTTCTAAAGTCCGAAAAATTAGCTATGTAACAGCATCAAGAAGGCCTTGCAAAATCACTTTTCTCACATTTTATCAGGCCTGGGACTGACAGTGTCAATATTTATTGGCATGTTTAAAAAGTGGTTTGACAAACAAAAGTAAACCACTAACAACTAAAACAAAACGCAAAACGAAACAAACTGAAACTCGGAACACAACAAGGAGAAGAATGCTTAGACCGCTGATTTACCTACATCAATTACTCGAAGTGTCCTCCATTTTGATTAATACACAAACGAATTCGGGTTTTAAAAGATTGTTCAACATTGGTCAGCATGTCTGGTGTAATTTCTTGAAATGCTGCTGTAATGCGCTGCCACATATCTTCGGTGGTAGTTGATGGTGTAACGTACACTTTGCTTTTTATAAATCTCCATAAAAAAGTCGCAACTTGTCATATCTAGACACCTAGAAGGCCAACTCACTGGTCCTCCGCGCCCAATTCATCTGTTGGGAAAAGTTTCGTGTAAAACCTGACGAACCACAGCGGTATTGTGAGGTGGAGCACCATCATGTTGCATCCACATTCTTTGAAGTGTAGCTAAAGGAATGTCGCCTAACAAATCTTCTGGAGTGTTTGTTAAAAAGTTTAAATAAACTGCTCCAGTTAGATGCTATTAAAAAACGAATTGTCCGATGACATGGGTTCCCAAAATTGCTCCCCACACGTTCAAAGACCATCGCTATGGCTATGAGTTGTCCGGAATTGGTGAGGATTTACTGTGTCATAATAATGGCAATTATGATAATTAACGAAACCATTTTTATGACCCGTTTAAAAAAATTATTATCAGCCCGAACCAGATTCAGACGTTTTGTATCGAAAAATTTATCTTCAGTGTATTCGTTCAAAATTTCTCTAAATTTTTTATTTAGATTTCTTTGTTTATTGAATTATCGTACACTGTAAGTGTCATTAGACCCTGTGAAATCCATCTCGTTATTTAAACTATTACCACCACGCATTAAAATAAAAAATTATTAGTTTTATTCCCGTGTCCATAGTTATTTCTAGGCTTCTCGAGTGCTCAAAATTCAAACAAATTCCGATCTATTTTTTTTAGGATATTCTTACAAATACATCTGACATACTCTTTCACAGTTGTGGTTACAGATATAATAAATTTCGATAATATTACGCTGATTTTCATTTTCAACCTTTGCTAAAACGAANTTAAAAATTATATGTACTTTAAATATGCCCCAGT